TTTAAGCAGGCAACATAGCTGAATAAAAGTAATATTAATAGTCATAATATGAATAAATAATAATATAATAACAATGTAATCTGAATAAACACTGATTTCCCCATTTATTCATTTCAGAGTGGCTGACTTGAACACAAAGCTGGAAAAAGATTGGTGTGTCAATAGCTAACTTCAAAAGAGTATTCATAAAAATTTGGATTAAAAATATCCAGAAGAGGTTGTTTTCATGCTCAGGATATCAGTACATTTGAAGCTATACAACATGCAGAGGAAGAATTGAAAAGCTGAAGGGAAAAATTGCTGTGATAGGCGAAAAGCAGCTATTTCTCATTTTATATTGAAATTCAAACCATTTGGGACCTGAGTCCTTCGGCAATTTTCTACATAGGAATTCATTTAATGATGTTATTATTTTCGCCTCAAATTGATGAAATGGAAGACATTATACTTTTAAATACTCCTTTCATATGTGGAAAAGATCAGAGAACACTGAACTCCTCCAGATCTGATTTTCTGCTGGAGCAGAACAGGATTTCTGGCCTGCTCACTGGTGTACAAAGCATAACCATCCATTCACAGAGTACGATAGTAATATTAACAGTCCCTCTTGGCTATAGGCAGGTACAATGGTTAAGTATCACAGAATATGCTGAGTAGGAAGGGACCCATCAGAATAAGTGATTCTGCACAGGACACCCCAAGAGTCACACCATGTGCCTGAGAGCATTGTCCAAACACTTCTTGAACTCAGACAGGTTTGGTGCTGTGACCACTTCCCTGGGGAGTCTGTTCCAATGCCCAAACCTCTGGGGGAAGAACCTTTTTCTAATATGTAATAAAAACCTCCCCAACATAACATCATGTTGTTCCTTTGGGTCCTGTCACTTACCATGATAGTGAAGGGATCAGTGCCTGCCTCTCCACTTCCCTTCGTGAGGGAGTTGTAGACCATAATGAGTCTCCCTTCAGTCCCATCTTCTCCAGGCTGAACAGACCAAGTGACTTCAGCCAGTGCTCGTATAGCTCGTGGTCCTCCTTTGGATGCTCTCTAATATCTTAATATCTTTCTTATTTTGTGATGCCCCAAACTGCCACAATATTCAAGGTGAGGCTGCACCAGTGCAGAGCAGAGCGGGACAATCACATCCTTTGACAGGCTGGTGATGTTTTGCCTGATGCCCCCCAGGACACGGTTGGCTGTCAGGGCACTGCTGACTCATATTCAACTTGCCATCAACCAGGATCCCCAGGTCACCTTCCACAGCACTTCTGTCCACCCTGTCATAGAAGGAAATCAGGTTCAACAAGCAGGACTTTCCCCTCATGAAGCCATGCTGGCTGTGATCAATGACTGCATTGTCCTTCAGTTGTTTTTCAATGCTTCCCAGAATAATCTTTTAAGTGCAATACTAAAGAGAAATTTTCAGAAGCATTCACTGCCAAAACAAGCTGTGTATCCTTCTAGGCTAGTTATACCACACTTACTTCAGTTTCCCCAAACCAAGTGCAATGAAAATCAAAGTACTGTGCATTTCTGAATCATTTTCATACTGATATAAACTAAACAGCAAGCACTGTGTCACGGTCTGTGAACCACTGTGGTTTTGTCTGGTCAGTTATAGATGTCCCTGGAGAAGCATACGAGTACAGGTACTTTATGCTGTACATACTTTATTCCCACCCCTTTTGCGCCATTTATCATGGTTGAATTTTCCCAAATACTTGCCCAAAATCTGTCCCAACTTCTCCTTATCCTGGTCACCTCTCTCTGTATCTCACCATGTTTTACTGTGCAGTCCCTGTGGTATCACATTTTACTGTGCTGTTCTGAGAGGGTGGAGTGGGTCTGCACCCAGTGTGCAAACAGAGGTGACACAGCAGCTGTGTGTGTAATGGCTCACAGTGCTCGCTCTTTTATTCCTCTGTTGTTTTTTTGGTTTTCTTAAAAATACTTGGGGATTTTGACCACAGAAGAAAATTAAGCTGATTTCATAAAAATATGCAAGAATAAGATTCTCAGTGTAACACTTAATTCAGTACCTAAGCGTTGTGTATGTTAAATTGCAATTATTTTTCTTCCTACGTTTACCCTGCTACATATATCAACACGGATCTCACTCTGCTATTTTACCGCCCAGTCCCTGTGAGCACCTTCTGCATCTTTTTTGTCATTACCCTTGCCTTCATTATCCTGAATAACTTAGCAAACTGTGTCACTTCACTGCTCATTCTCTTTTTCAGATCACTGATGAATACGGCCCCAAGGGACTCCATGGTGATTTTCTTCCAGTACAAAAACTGACCATTAACTCCTACTCTCCATTCCATAAGCTGTTGCTGTGTGTGGCAAATGTGCAGAGTGGGAGGCTTCTTTATATACTTACACCTTTTAAAAAATTATTCTGTCTAACTTATAATTATGTCTAATACATAAATGATATTTTAATGATATAAATATATTCCTGGAAAGAGACTCAGCAATTATTCTTTTTAAACGAACATTTTTTTTTTTTCTTATTGGAAGTAATTTAGGTTTGCCCTCTGTCACACCTTGACATTTTTGCTCTGCTTCTATTTTTTATGTATGTGAATCACTCGCTTTTCAATACCGACCTGTCAGAGACTTGTATATTTTGAAAAGAAGCCAAGTTTCAGTATCATTATACTTACACATTCACCCTGAGGCATAATTGTTCTAATACACAATTTTCATCCTGCAATTTAAAGGAGAGTTAGTGTGTCTTTTTGCCTTCCAGTAGCTGTCATAGGATTTCAGTATGCATTGGATAACACGAGCCCTTTCCTGTTCCCATGGAAATCAATAGTAACACTTCATACCCATTAAACTCTATCAGAGATAAAAAATGGGATCTAGGTAATTAGGACCCGCTTTTGTTTGATCACTGGTTCATTTGAAATCAGGAGAACTGTTAGTCAGGAAAGAACAGGGTGGGTTGCAGTGAGCTAAAATTTTCAGGCAACACAAATAGGGGTGAAACGCTCGGAGTTCCGCCCAGTGGGACCAACACTATTCCCACCCCCTCACCAGGCAGACATGTCACACCATGCCAGGGCAGTGCCAAGCTGAAGGGATGGGCACTCACCAGGGCTCGGATGCACCCTTGGGAGCAGCAATGCCTGAGGCACAGCCAGGGACAGCGGGAGACACCAAGTAAGCAAACCCTGTGTTTGCAGCTGTGCTGAATGAGACCTTCACTGAGTTCTGAAAGGGGAGACCTGGCCAAAAATCTCCATTTGGGTTTTCTAGTCTCATATTTAACCTGAGCGCTGCTCAGCATCGTGACACCTAGTTCAGAGTGTGATGCTTCCACGTGTACCAAAGGACCAATCCAGGATACAGAGTAATGGAAATTCACCATCCATGTACCTTTTCTTCAGGTTTCTTCATCAAGGTGCCTCGGAGGTTCTCATTTCAGGCAAGACTGAAGGCAGTTTTAAACCAGTTCTCTGAGAAAATGAAGCCAAATATCTGACATTTTAAGTGGATAGTTTTCATCTTTTGGTTGGCAAAATAAAATATGTTCAGTTGAAGTAAATATAGGGAAAAATAAATGTGTTTTCCATAAAAATCCCCCAGTTTTGAAAGACTTACAAAAGCTAAACATCACATATAGGAGAAGTCGTAGACTACTCAAAATACAACTTATTATTTAAAACAAGGAAGAAGAATTTGTCAGATTTACCTGAAAGATAAAGAAAATTCAGAATCCACCTAGTAGCAATACTGCACACTGGAAGGGCAGAAGGTAATGTAGAAAGGCAATGAGACTCAGTAAAATACAATTATTTATCTCTCAAAGGAATATAATATGAGTATTGATCACATACAGTGTATTTAGGAACTTAAGATCCAAACTCCACAGTAAGTGCTTTAGGAAAACTACAAGGTTTCTCAAAAGTGTAAGTTTTTTGACTCCAATGAAGGTAGTCTAAAGCTTTGTATAAACACATTACTACACTGCCTTCTTGCTGTGAGTCAAAGATGCAGCTCTAAGTAGTGAATTGTAACTACACCCCACATAGCTACATATGCTTAGAACCCAATCGGTTCTTGCTGTCTTCAATATGTCTTTTAGTTGTATTTAAATGAACTAGTGCAGTATGACTTTCCAAAAATATGAATATCCAGTTATTTCTTTAGCAGTTCATTTCTTTATTTTGTATATTTTTCTAGTACTCATCAAGAACACAATCCAAGACATGCTATGTAAAAATAAAACACATGTTATGCACAAGCTTCACTGAAGTAAAAATCAAATAATTTTCATTTACTCTACACCTAGTGTGTTTCATTTTTGGCTTAATGACTACCTACAAAGAACAGAAGCAAGCAGGAACTCCACCTGACCCCAGACCTCAGTTTCAAACACCAGTCTCAATTTGTGCAGACCTCATTTACTCTCAAATCCAACCCCATATTCACTTTTCATATTACTTGTGCTTACAGCGTTCTTAAAGTAGGAAAAGTACAATTTCCTTACAAATCTCTGAAGCAGAATAAAATAGCTTATGCTGAAAATTCCTTAAAGATTGGTACATAAAATCAATTTTATTCTTGATAAAGCGCACCGTGACTTGCAGAATTTCAGATTTGTGGTTCTCCTTATGTTACAGCTGTGCTTGGGATCCATAAAACTCTCCAATTTGGAAGCTAGCATTTCTGGAGAAAATGTTCTGGGAAACTTTATCTTGAATGTTGTCAAAAGATAGATGAAAGTATAAAATAATGACCTGGATATCCTGAAACCAGCATTGTATGGACATTGTAGGGCCACTACAAATCATGCAAAACCTACAAAGCTAATTAAAAATTCTGTTCAATAGAAAAAGCAGCATGACAGGAATAAGTAACTCTGAACAACCACTTTATTTTTACATTGTCTGGATGCTCTATGAACTAGCACACACTTAGTAATTAAAATATTTCAAGAGTATGTTCCTACCTGACAATCTCACTTTTGCTTTCACCCATCTTGCTCTCCAATTTTTCATCCCTCTTAGTTTTCTTTATAGCAAGGCATTGATCCTGCAATATACAAGTTGTCTTTATTGAGCTTTAAAAAAGAAAAAAAATCTATATTTTACTAGTCTGATTTTGTACTGAACAGGCCTAAAATAGCAGTGCAAGTTATTAAAATAAGCATAACTGTATAAACAAAATGTTCTGCCTCTTCTTTAGAATGTATTACACCTATCAAATGACTAGAGAAAAAGAAAAGAGCACATTCTCAGTACAACTTTTACCTTGCCTGGTTATCATAATATTTTTACAGTTGTAGGAAACAACTCCACTAACTAACAAGAAGCAAAATAACTTAAATAGCAATTACTACCCCTGATACATTTCACAGATCTTTGCTGTCCTCTCAGTTGTCAAGTACACAGACCTATTTTGGTTCTCTGAATTCAGTACTAGTTTTGATTTCTTTTCAACAAAATAGCTATGAAAATTGACCTATTTAGGAAACTTGCAATACCATATGGAAAGGCATTTTCAAAAACCTTACTTTTTTAAATAGGGGAGCTAAAACATCAGAAAGGCTGCCTGTGTTTGACTATAAGGAAAAGCAAGTGAATTTTGATAAAGAAACTGAGATTGAATAAATTTATAGAAATGTAACTTCATATGATATGTTCCCAGTAGGTCTGGTAGCCAGAGTATATTCTCATTCTTCTGAACCAATTACTATTCCTCAACCAAACCTTTTACAAGGATCAAAATATAAGATACTCTTTTGAACTATAAGGTGTTTATAAGAGATAGGGCATGTTGCAGCAGGTTGAATGCAAACTTTACTATTAGGTGCCTATGGAATAACCTTGGTGGATGTGAATAATGTTATGCAGAAATACAACAGAACGAGTTACAAGATGGAAGCATATTAAGCAAATCTGTGAGCAATATGCATCTATTCCCAATGCTTTTGTAGTTATTCTGCTGAAGCTAACAAGGTAGAAAAGTAAGACAGTTTCTGATTCTCTGACTGTTGTCAATCTCTTTCCTTTAACACCAATACTTCGGTAAAACAGGAGCAACAGTAAGTAAAGTAAAAACAATGCAATGTAAAAATTTAAAAGTTTTTTTACATCAATAGAGCTTTGTCAATAATTTTGGTGGGACTGACTTCACTAAAATGCTGCAACACCAAGCTGGAAGGCAATTCAAACATTTACATATGATTTCTGTTGTGTTTCAGAAGTACAATAAGTTCAGGTCTTTCTGAACTTAACAGAAAGTATGGTTCAAACTAAACCTACAGACTATCACATGAGAAGATTCCGATTGTCAAGAGCTTCACATTCAACAGATGAGACACATGTCATCTACTTGACTTTTCATCAGCATTTTAGACTAAGTGCAAAGAAGGAAATTCAGTTCCAGAGTGCTTCACAGGAAAGCTTTGTATTTTCTTTATCTTATTTTTATTTTAAACTAAGGTAAAGCTTGTACGCATCTAACTTTGAAAAGACATGCGAAGTTTAGTACAGCAAACATAAAAGAAGTGTCTTTCAGTTTTGTTTTCTTTCTAGGTAAGGGTAGGTATATGTCAAGAAAACTCTTTAATTTTATATTCTAAAAAAGAATGATTTATGGGTAAAAGAAGTCAAATTACTTACCTATAACAGGAGATTTTTGAAAGTAGTTCCCTGTTTCCCTAAAGGTAACACTGAAAGATCTGTGATGATTCACCAGTTTGTATTACAAAGTTAGGAGGCAGAAACTCCACTGTTACTCCACTCTATTAAAATAAAAAAAAAAAAAGAAAAAAAAAAGAAAATTAATCATAGGAAACATGGGAAAAAAAATATTCACCTTTTTGTCACCTGTCAAACCCCCCAGAAACTTCATATGAGAAAAAACATATAAGTTGAGATTTATGGCAGAAACACTGCTAAAATCAGGCAAGAAGAATTGTCATTGCTTTGGATTCTTGGCCTCTTTGGTTCCCAACAGAGCCAGTCAGGTGTTTGTATCTCTTAACTTTAAATACAGGTATAAATCTGACCTTTTGCATAACTGAGCCTGAAGGACTACTGATACTTTCCAGGGGTTTAGGTTCACTGAGCAGCACAGTACTGCAGTACATGCTTTCAACATAAACAACAGCTTCAGCTCATGTAATTTGGCAGCCTCCTGTCCACCTCAGAGGATTAGAATTTATTTACTGAGTACTAACCCTTAGATATTACTGACCACTTCTGTATAGCAGAAATATGCTGTGGGCAAATAGTAAATGCTGTAGGATGGAAATGTGTGCACATGAAGAGCTAAGGATCATGAATCCATAATGCAAAAATGGAAATGCCTATTCAGAAGCACACAGCTGGGAAAGGTTAAAAGCAGAGGGGAGAGAGAAAATGCACTGAAAGCAAAGTCTCACTATTTCTAATTTATTGGGCGCTGAATTAGTATTTGAATATTAAAGAAAGGACTTTCAAACGTTAACTAAGACAGTTTCATTCAAATTTAAAAAAAGGTTATTTTATGGAAAGTCTGAAGGTTATTTTATGGAAAGTTCATACCATGAAGGACCTGGTCGAGTTCTTTAATTAGCAGACATGTATTGAAACTGAATGGAAGAAACAAAATCCATGTGATTTGGAGTCAAAAATTCTACAGGAAAGCTTTAAGGGATCACTTATCAGCTAAAATGACTCAGTGTAAACCTGTCTCATATACATGCTCTTTCTTAATTCACACCCTTCTATCTTTAATGCATCCAGCACAATGCATTTGATTGAATGTTCCATGATTTTAATTGATGATCGTAGATGGCTAAAAGGAAGGTGAAACGATTACACATCTCAAGAGTACATGATCCATATTGGTTTAGATCTGCAGAATTAGCTTGTACAAAAGGAACTGTTGAAAACAATCTAATAAAACCATAAGCTCAGTTCCTCGAAGTGATGGCTACATCAATAACATGTGCAACCTATTATTCTGATTGACATAAGCCTTGAGTAGTCTGTCAGCAGAAGGTTATGCTGTGAAACATAATTAAAGAAAGATAAAATTGATTACATATTTAGGTCTTGAAACTGGAAAGGTATTTCTGATTATTATTGAAATATTGAAGTGTTTCGCTTTTGTTTGCACCAAATCAGTACAAAAATCTCTTCTGCAAATTTACTCCTAAATTTGCTTTTATTATAAGAATGTACTTTTCCACTCTAAGAAGTGGTTATGAGCAGATAACTGATATTCTTTGAAAATACCAGTTTGAAATGTAGAGTAATGAAATCAGATTAATATTTCCTAATACATTTCTGGGCTTATTTTTCTGTCTCTCTCTGAGAGTTATATATCAATTAAAACTGTAGAATAAAACTAATTTCTATTTTTTATTTAAGATAGTTTTCCTCTAAAGTTTATGGGACAACAAGCACAAGGCATGTATCTTACTTTCATATAAGTTTCTCCAAATGATTTGGATTATAATGGGTCCCGAATAAGAGAGAATCCCAACAGTGTTACACCTGACAAAGCCTTTATATGGAGCTACATAAGATGTCATTGTGCAAAGCCTATTTACTTTTCTTTTTTGTAGAAAAGAAAGTAATTTTATTGGTCTTTATGCAGACATCAGGGTAAGATGATCAGAGATCTGGTTTCAGATGTATGTCTGAAGATACTTTAAATAGGTCAGTTAGCTATTGTAGGAACAGTTTGCCTTTTCATGAAAGGAGAATAATGCAGTAGATAAAAACCTAATAATGCAGTATAATAATATTTATATTTTCAGTGGTGTTGCAAGGCTTCTTATATAATATGCCTCAGTTACACTGAAGTTATGTGGCCACTGTCACAGAATGATGATTAATCTATGGCTATAATGAAAAGACTACTGTATCTCGTTCTTTTTTTGTTATACATTTTTTATAATAGTGTAACTTCAAAGCTTTCAGTGCAAACACATAGTACTCCTGTACCCTGACAGGAGAATAGAGCTGGTTGTATATCATTCCTACCCAGTGCTTCTTCTCTGTATGCCTTTGTTTGTCGGGAAAAGTGTTAAAATGAGAATGCAATCATTATTCAGCATCATGATCAAGAACCAGCTTTTTGTAGGACAATAGTCTAATTTGATCTTTTGGAAATCTAATTTAAACTGCTCTTTTTTTTTTTTCCACTAGAGAGAGAATGAGCCGTTTCATTTCAGCTGCATCAGGGTGGTTAATAGCACACATTGTGCAAGACTTAGGGAGGGAAGGAGAGGCAACAAGTGGTTCTTAGATTCTTATTTGCCTTTACCCCTTTATACCACCCTGATAGCCAAAGGTAGGGGCTGAAGGAAACAAAGCATCATGCACAAATTCTGTCTGTCAGGCAGTCAGACTATGAATTTCAGGACTGTCAAGACTGCATATTTCAATCAGTTTTGACATCTCTTGGCATTTCTCTTCAAATTCTGCTTTCTATAAATAATTCCCTTACTTAGGTGTTATTTCTAGTTCACTTCTGAGCACATAAAAAGAATGTGTCTCACATCTTACTATGGCTATTCTTCATCTTCCCTTTGGAAACCTATATCAACAAGAATTAAAACTTATTTTGCATTAAAACAATCTAGTACATTTGAATGACAAAACACATATTGCATTTGCAATTAAATGTGCCATTCTCACTCTGAGATCTTGGAGAAAACACTGGCATTCTCTTTTCCTATTCAAGATGGTCTGAGTTTCCTTGGGATTTAAGAGTCATCAACAATAAGCACATAAGTAACTATAAGCATACCAGTACATAAACTTGACATTTTTAGAGGTCTAATGATGTCTTTGAATACACAAAAAATAAAGGAGAATTTAACACAGAATGTACACACACTGCTGATATGACCTGTATTAAAACACTTACCAGTGCCTTATTTTGAATCATACAAACAGTTCCAAATGTGTGTGGAAAATTAAAAGGAACCCAGGAAAGGGGGGAAAAAAAAAAAAAAAGTAAATCTAGACTTCATTCTCATTGTAGTGAAAGAGTTAAAACAGCTCAGCTTTTTTGTCTTGCAGAAAAGGAAGTGATCATCATGGAAAAATATTTAAGACTAGAACAGGGAAAATGCATGGAAAAAGTTTCACAGCTATGCTGAGAAAAGCACAGAAAGCTCTGAATGTCAGAAACTGACTTCCTATGAGACTTGCAAAGAATCTACCATGTCTGATTTAGGTGAGACGTGTCTCCAGGAGTTTCAAGACCTCAGCTGAAATATCCCCAATAGTTGTTTCAGTAATTAGTTACATCTTATGTTATAAACGTATCTTTTTTCATCTGAAACTGGATTCAACTTTCTGTCCCTAGAATTTCTTGTGAGTTCACATGCTAATTGAAAAACTATCAAAAACCTTCTTAGTGGGTACTAGAAGAGTGTGCTTCCTAGTGTTTCTTATTATCTGCTGGAGAGCATATATTTTGAACTTCAATTCATTCCTGCAGTTGTTTCTTCAATTCATTTTAAAAATACAATGAAACCTGACTCAACAATTGATAATGTTTTCATAAGTGTTGCTTACAATAGAATAGTACATATCTACATTTATTCCATATTCTCCTAGGGTTCCTTCGGGACTCCTATCTTACAATTTTAAACAAGGAGCCTGGTTTAAACTGGTGTTGCTCCAAGTCTCCTCAGTAACTGTGGTTAATATTCTTGCTTCAAGAGAAATATTGATCCATATACATGTAACAACACGTTGGAAATACAGAAAATGTGATGACCTAGACTATTCTCTTAAAACAACCTGTCTCATCAGTTTCCCTCCGAAATTCTTTAAAATTTAGTATACTTTGTTTTAATGCTGTGGCACAGAGTAAACCTGTCAGGCCAGTGCAACCAAATGCTGTTTTAATTTAGAGCAGCATCAATTTGGCCTGTGACTTCAGTTAATAGATACATTGGTATTACCTAAGAGAGGGTCAAGAACGCAGAAACTGTTAGAAATTCTCCCAGCAGATGATTTGCTATTTACAATTATTTTTCAGGTCTATCACTCTATATTGCAGATATCTTTTATTTAGCACAGTCAGAAGGGAAAAAGAAATGAGACTGTAAAACATTTGTCCTTGCTGATCCACACCAATAGGACTGTACAATTCTGCTCAAGCTAGACTGTTATTCAGAGCTGGAAAAAAAAATTCAAATACATAATCTTTAACATGAATCTAGAAGCTGTAGTCACCATGTTTATTTTCAACTATTATTCAGCTATTGATCTCTTGTCTGTTTATGGAGCTGGGACTACAAGACTCCACAGAAATAGTTCTCAAGGTGCCAGATCATTGTCAACAGAATTAGCAGGAAAAGATCTTTTCCCTATTGTAACAAAAAGATGAAGAAAGTAAAACGCCAAAAGCTTTTGGCCTTTCTTTTCAGCCCCCCCACAGCTGAAATTCTTTTAGCCACTTCCATTTGGAAACCTTTTCTTCCTCATCAATTTACCTCTGTAGATTATTCACTGTTGGCAATTAGCAAGCAGGAGAAAACCTGCTGAGGAGAGCAACTTAAAAGGGGACTTAAGAATGACTGTGCCTGGGAAAAAAAGCAGACAATCTGGAGCAGCAGACTTCCAAATTTCAAATACACACATTACAGAGATGAACAGCCAGAGCAACCTCTCTTCTTAATTCCTTTTATCTGGGTCTCCAATCTGCTCACAACAGTATTTAGTCCAAAACTTAGTCCACTTCAGTGGGCTTGGAAAGGAAATTACTAAGATTCCAGCATTCATTCTACCCCCAAAAAAGAACAATTTAGATAATGGCTTGCTACGTTTGGATAATAACCAAATGTCACTTTTCACATCCAAACCATTTCAGTCTGGCATCTTCCAGGAAGCCCTAATGTCTACAGATAAAAACAAGGGGAAGACTTTTCCTGCTGCCCAGCTTTTATCTGCAATATGAAGTAACTGAAGACATTTTCAGTGATTTCAGTAAATCAGAGTAGTCAGTCTTACGTACCATGTTTATGAGGAGGAAAATAATCTTATCGCTGTGGATCAGCTTGAGATCTTCTCTTAAGGTCATAAAAGCTGCATAAAAACAAGACATTGGAGGAAAAATGTTCTCCAAGTGCAGCTCTATTATAGCTGCTGTTGCAGAAAATGCATTTTTGAACTTTCAGCAATCTTCTGAGTGTCCCTATTCATGAAGCCTGCATGATATTTTAACAGAGTGATTAAGTGACAAAGACTTTAGGTAAATTATCTTAAAAACATTGCCAGAACACTATTAAATAAAAGATGGCTTTTCAAACAGAATGTAAAATATCACATAATATATTATCATTAAATAACTGTTTTTTGAGGGAAAGTAAAACCAAAGATGCAAAAGTCTCTCTAGGAATATTCACTTCTCACAAACAAAATCTGAAAATACAGAAAACATTTCCAAACTCAATTAATTTCACAGCTTCCAGCATAAAACCCCCTAACATACTTCTTCAAGTTGCCTGGTTCTTTTCAGTATGGCCCTAAACTATCACAACATAACAAGCTCTATGAAGAATTATGCATACAGAAAAGCAAGATAAGAAGGTTTTTTACTAGTCTTTTTAAAATACACTAAGCAAAAATGGTCCAAATGACACAGGAATTCCCCTTACACCTGCTCCAGCAGGCTGGTCTCTATCACTGCAGTTGTGTTCTTTCACTCGTGTTCCCAACTGCTTTCCTGTTTCAGTTTCTTGCCTCTCACAGCACTGAAATCTTCTACCCCAACTAAATTAAGAGACAATCAGAGTGAGATCATTCAGTCATCATGCTGAACACTCATGCAGTTTGGAATGATTTCTCAACAGGAATTTTCTTGTAACTCAAACGTTTCATAAAGAACATAAAGATAGAACCAAATTAGAAACATTTAAGGTTGGTCCTGAATTATTACTTTGATTTCTGATCTGAATTTTCATCATGTTTGGAGATAATTCCATCCAGGCCTTTGATTTTGGAATATTATTCACAATTTGTTTAGGTAAGAAAACATAACTGAGCAAGAGCATAGGTTTAGATTAGATATTAGTAAGAAATTCTTCACTATGAGAGTGGTGAGACACAGGTTGTCCAGAGAAGTTGTGGATGCCCTATCCCTGGAAGTGTTAGACAGGGCCCTGAACAACCTGGTCTAGTGGAAAGAGTCCCTGCTCATGGCAGGGGGTGGAAATGAGATGATCTTTAAGGTCCCTTCCAACCCAAACCACCCTGTGATTCCATAATTTTTTGCTATTGCAAAAGCCTTTCACATATGGTTTGGATGGATCAGGCCTCCATCCAAAGTGAAAAGTCTCCCTTTTGGTCTGACCATCTGAACTTCTTGATTCTAACTTACCTGATCTCTGCAGTTCTGCATTTCAGGAGTGTGACCAGACAAACTGAAATTAACCCTCCCTATTAAAAGTCAGATTCTTTCAGCACATTTCCTGCTGAACATCTCCCTCACATTTCATTCTGAGCCACATCTTTTACTTTTTTGCCACGGTTTCATACAACCTCTCCTGTTGTCTGGCCATGTTGATGAAAGACAGGCAAGTACGTAGTAGCAGCACATCCTCTGCCACAGGAAATGTGGAACAGTTCACCTGCCTGCTTGCACAAAGCTCACCAGCTCTAGGAGCTATAGATGTGCCATTAGGAAGCCAATTTCAGTACAGAGAGGCAAACCCACTAATAATTTAAATAAGTGTTTCAGAGGTAAGTATATTTGTAATACAGGGCATGCAGACTGTATCCTAAGCAATCGACCTACTTTAGAGTTTCTACCTCTTGAATATCCAGAAGAGGGTGCCCAGGTTATACTATACCTGGACACCCTCCCCCCACATTACCTACTCCAATAATAGATCAGTGGGATTTGCAGCCTTTGCCACTTCAGTAATGAGCACAAAATTCGGGCTGGAGGTGATGTAATTGTGGGACACCAGGTCAGCCAGGCTTCAGATTAATCCTGTGCTCCTTATTTCAGTTAAGAGCAATGAAAATGAGAACACATGTAAAAGATTGAGATCATTTGTTCCCAGACCACTTTCTTAACATTTTTTATGTCTTTCTACAGCATTTTGTCTGGATTTCCACCATTCCTTTTGGGGATGATGGCAACTTGGCCATTTAGGAATAACATACGTATGGAGAACACATGCCCTTAGACCACTGAATTTTAAGGTTCCAAATAACTAGTATGGTAGAGTTAATTTTATACTTGAAGTATGGCTAAATGTTTAAATTATAAAACAAACCACTCTAGTTTAACTCTACAACAAGGAGACAATGATGCTTTTTTTCCCTTTTAAAGTAATATTTGGCAGTGGCTTTCTTTAGTATCTAATAGCTTTGGAAAGTTTGAGTGGTCAGAAGCCTCTTTTCTTTAAAGACAGGAAATATTAACTACTTCAATTAAATAAAACCTTTTAAACTCACAACATTCTCTGTAGTCATTTTCATGACATGTAGATTTTTTGCTTGAATTAGAGAGAATCTAATTTTGTTCAATAACAGTTCCAAAGGAGTATTTGCTGCACATGGGGTAAATGGCGTGCTTTTTTTGATTTGTTTGTTCATCTGAAATTGCCAGAAAATACCACTGGAGGGGGAACTGTATGTTCAACATTAAGATAATCCTAATTTTTTTAATTTCTCCTGAAAATGTTGGAGATAATAAGAAATAACACTTGTATTTGCTTTCTGCTTTACACCCACACCAAATGCAGAGAGGCTGAAGCAGTCATGGGATATGATATTAAAAGTCAAATTACAATAAAAAATGAGAATGACTCATTATAGCAGCCAAAAATTAAAAGCAAATAACAAAAGCATTCCTTTGGGGTCTTTGATTCCTTAAGGTATTAAAACACATACGTAGATTTATGCAAAGTAATATATCCACTCAAATGGAAGATACAGTAAAATTAGGCCTTAACAGTATTACACTGAATTCTAGCCTAAAATATATAAATATATTTCCCCAGAAAGATGCATGTCCAATTTTAATTGGACATAAATATATAGATATGGGTGTTCCTGTAAAAATAAATATGATGATAAACATCAGTCCTGGTTTCATGCATACCTCACTAAAGAAAATCCAAATTACTTTACGTATTACAGTGGGACAAGTAAAATATCTCATGTTTCCCTCTTGTCAACAACTTCCCAAGGATTTTCCTGTCTATCAACTTCTCCTTCCTTACATTGAGAAGTTCCTTTGCATTAAAAGCAACACATCACTGGAAATCTAAAATACAATCTTATTGTATTCCTATAATTAAAGCTGTAACCCATTGCTGATTTTTTGTTAATTGACAAAAATGCAGATTTATTTATTTAATAAGATGTTGAGAGACAATGTTTCCTCTTTTCTTCCTCTGGGAAGTGTTTTATTGTTTGTTTCCTTTCTCTTGCCTGCTTGCTGTGTAATTTAAGACTGATGCCTCCCTGTGGGAAACAAAACTTGATCAGAGAACAGCCTGCACTGTCACCTAAACAAATTATGTTTTAGTCACTGCTGATGTTGGCTCTGTCATAATGGAAATGTATAATTAATGCCTTTGCTTTTACTGCCTTGGAAAGAGAACTCCCTGAAACTGGTTCAAGAGGGGGGATTTTAGGACTGTGCCCTTTTCCCTTTCTAATCATTACCACAATGGATTCCTGCTGCTGCTTCTAAAAACGAATGATCAGGTCCATGTTCTCTACAGTTATTTATTCAATCTACCATCCAGGCAATTTATTATTATTAAATAATAAAAATCTGTTGTGCAGTAAGAATTTGGCAAGGAATAAGAAAGGAGGGAAAACTCAGGAACACAGGTTAAATCATACATTTCTCCTTTTAGCAGAGCTTGAAAAGATTAAGCTATTTCCATTAGTTTCCTGCAGAGTTGCAAGCAGTGATAATAGACATGTGCTAATATCACTATTGCACTGTGCTCTGAAGCAGCATTTTAGATCATCTTTCACCTGTGACATGACTCCAAATATCTCCAATTAGCAGCTTGCTTTTCATTTGCAGTTTTTGTTGTTGAATTTATAGCAGTGACTAAACATCTGGTATTATGACTGCAAATAGTCTCCATCTTCTCACCTCTGGGATGCAGTGTAGCTTTAGACTATTTATACTTTGATCTAAAATTCTAAATGTCCGAATTATTCTTCTGTAATAGGTCCTAAGTGACATTAAATGGATGGTCTCAGCTTTTTCTTTCCAAAATGGACAGCTCTCTCACCTCTTTTAGCTACTGCACTGCATAAAAAGCTCAGCACAATGAAATAACAGCAACACCATTTTCAGGACTGAAATAACCTTTCATTTCTACAAAGACACACAGAGGCCAAGAAATGGCAAAGGCAATGACTGCAACAACTGTGTTGTAGGCACATTCTCGTGACATCAGAAACTCAGCATTTTTCATTTATTATCAGTGTCTCTGGAGCTGTACAGAAACCACACTGAGGAGGCAGAGGTATCAATCCTCAAAGCGTCGTGATCTAGACTGGTTGAAAACCTAGGCAAAACAGTCTTGGCTTCTAAAATTATACTGCTACTCTATGCCTTTTCCTAGTAAGACATTTCTTACTAGACAGCATTTGCATACACTTTGTTATTTCCACATAAATACTTCCACATTCTGAAAATCTCTAATTACATTGTTTGGTGTCATTGTTCAAGTAACATTTGCAATTATCATCATCACCACTCTATTTTACAAAATAGAAAAACAGGGCACAGGGGTTAAGTCATTTGCTGGACTTCTTACATAAGGGGTTTTTTTTCTGTCTGAGTTGGAAATAGATGGGAAGAGATTGTAAAGCACAAGGTCTTGAGCTAATGTAAATTAGGTTACTTACTATGAAGCCATAAATAGCTAAGATGAATTCAGGCAAGCCTTGAATCTGTCCCCAAATCTTCTGACTTCTAGTTTTATAACTGAACCACTGAAGTGTTCTTAGTCTATTTCAGATTCAAAGAGGCAGATAGATACATCTGCTGAGTGTGACACTGTTCATTGATATGCCCAAAATTATGAAACTTGCATCAAAAA